CCAGCAAAAAAAGGTGAAAGAAGCACAGGAACTTCAGAGATACAGGAAAATCTAAAAGGTAAGAAATTAAAGAATCACTAAAAGTGAAACAATCATAGCTAGGTGGCCAGGACCTTTAAAAGGAGAATGTTGAACTGATCCTGGATAGATGGTCTTCCCTTACCCACTTCACTACTCCACTACCTCTGGGACCCTTTCCCCTGATCCCACTCACTACACCAAATGTAGATTTTTCTAAATGGCCTCATAGATTCTATATAAGAGACCTCACTTCTTTTAGCCTCAAAATTGGGCTCTGCCATAAGGCACACTTACAATCTCATCAAACAACCACCAATTTCGCTCTGCTTCATAGAGGGGCTTGGGGAGTCCAGCGCACCATGTCCCATATCACCCGGATCCAAGTGAGGGCAATCATATGGGGGGAAGCGTGAGCCCTTTATGGTGTTCACAGCTTCCCCCATAGATTCTACAGCAACACAAGAACCCTCCCGTGTTTCCCAGGGGGTGGCATGAGCCAGCTCCGTCCTCCTTCACCCATGGAGTTGTACTGGCATCAGCTGATGGGACCCGGCTGGCTCAGTGGATGACCTGGGCTAAAATGAGTGCATGCTGCCAATTTTAGCTCTTTATGATGAGGTGGGAAATAGAAATGCCTGCCATACTCTGTAGCCCAGGTCCTTGTGCAATAAGTAATCTCCACAGACTTCCAACAGAGGAGTAATCTCAAATGCCAATTTAGAATTAATGCAGTTTGACACCACTTTTACTGCCATGCCTAAATTCTATGGAACAGTTGAAGTTGTAGTTTGGTGAGATAAAATTATGAACATGTAAGGGTACATCTACACTGTAGAAGTATTGCAGTTTGACAACAGTTTAACCATCATGGCTGAATGTTATGGAATTATGCAAGTTGTAGTTTGGTAAGACATCAGCACTCTTTGACAAAGAAAGCTAAAGACTTTGTAAATATACTACCCCCATTATTCTGTAGCATTAAGACATGTCAGTTTAAGTGATGTCAAACTGCATTAATTCTACAGCACCCTTAGGAGTTCATAATTTTGTTGCACACTGAGATATATCTATATATCTATATCTATATCTGAGAGAGAGAGAGAGTTTGATGGAAACAAAATTCTGAGCAAGACCCCTTTTGTCTTCTACAGTCAGTAAATTGAAATATGCTGCCAATTGTATGCTAATTTTGTTTTCTTTTGAATTAATCTACATAGACAGAAGGCTATCGACACTGCAATTACAAATCTCACCATAGTAAAAGATCCAGACTACCACAACCATTCACATGTGCATTACCTATGACCATCAATGTATTCAATTTTAACTATAAACACAAAAGAAGACTCTTGGGCTATCATTACTCTTTGAAACTACGTGTCTGCACAACCTCAATAGCTTTCTACATTTGTAAATGAACTCTATTCTACTTGCTCAACTTCTTGTTGTACTTGTTTAGGTTCATTCAGATGCTAAGGATGATATTATTTATCCAGGCCATGTCGAAGGCACATGTCAATATGTTAAATGCGGAAATTGTTCCTGACATTATTAATCCTTGGGTTCATTTTTGGAAAGAGAAGGCAGATACTTTCCCAGATGAACGGCACCCTGGAGAAGCATTGTTTCATTATGTTGTGACTACTATTACATCTCAACATTTGCAAGAGTGTCTTTGAGTTCACAAAGTACATTATCTAGATCAGTTCAAAATCATTTAAAAGATCTCCCCAGTTTAAAAATCTAATACTATGCTTGTTGTTTGACATGGTTGAAGAATTGCTTAACATTGAGAAACAAAATATTACTGCAATTAGAAGGCGATGGTTTGAAATTTGAGGAATGTGCTTTCTTTGGTATGACAAAATGGAAGCAGATTCAACTTTTAACAATCACTTCATAAAGACATCATGATTTTGAGTGTGGCATAAATATAATTTTATTCAAAGATGTCACTATGGTGTTCCATGCATATTTATTTGGAAGGACTTGCAAAGACTTGTTGGCATTAGTTAATGCCCAATACAAGTAAAAAACAAGAGAGGAGTTAATGATGGCAGGTTTCCCAATATAATGGTTTTGTCATAAAATAATCTCTGGGTGATTTAAGGTGGAAAAAACTTATTTGGATTTGTAACAACTAAACCAGAAATTGGAAATGTATTATACTCAGCAAATAACAATTTCCTGAGTATAATAAATTTTAAATGTATACATTTAAACTGTGAAATGGAGGAAGAACAAGTGAAAAACGAATGCATTTCAACCTGGTTTCAGAGCTGGTCATGGGACAGAGACAGCTTTGGTCACCTTGATGGATGGCCTACACAATCATCCATCATGAGGAGTGTGCCCCTGTTGGTTCTCCTACATCTTTCAGCGGCTTTCGATGCCATTGACATGGTATCCTTCTAAGTTGCCTTTCTGAGATGGGGCTTGAAATAATAATAATAATAATAATAATAATAATAATAATAATAATCTTTATTTATACTCTGCCACCATCTCCCCCAATGGGGACTTGGGGCAGTTTACATGAGGCCAAGCCCAAACAAGCCCAGGCAATTGGCCTGTGGGGTCCCTCAGGGCTCTGTGCTGTCTCCCTCGTTGTTCAACATATACGTGAAACTGCGGTGCCATCTTGTTGCATCCCAGTTCAAGAAACGAGACCATAAGATTAAATCCACCACACTGGACTGTAGGAAAAGCAATCCTTGTTTATTGATGAAAAATTGGTTACAAAAGAAAGGTAAATGCAAAGTCAAAAAGCCACAGAAAAACACAGCAGTCAGTAGAATCTCTGAACTTGAGCAAAATTTCAAAAGCCACAATACAAGAACCAGGAACCTGTTAGTCTTTTACTAACCATGAACTTGATAAATACAAGCCTCTGGGATTACCGGCCATGAAACACAGGAATTCTGCCAAGGCACAGCCACAGTCCCAAACGTTGCTTGATCTAAAGAGGCACCCGGCAGGAGGCCTCTTAAACCAAAGAAGCTATTCTTTGAAACGCCCCTTGACTTTGGAGCCTGGGCCTGTCTCTCCTGTAAACGAAGTGACCTTCGTAGAAACTGGGAAACATTTCTGTCTCTAACTATCTGTTCTCTTCGGTCCTCATTAAAAACCCCAGGTGGAAAGATATCACAGCTAGTTTCCAAAACATTTTCCTCCAGCTGTTGAGTTTCATTTTCATCACCGTTGACCTCTGTATCAACAACAGATTCCACACTGTCAGGGTCAGGGAGAGCTTGCTCAGTTGGAAAAACTATCAGAGAATCCGGTTCACACAGATCAGGATCAGGCTGAACCCCAACACATCTATACACAGATGACACTCAACTCTATCACTCCTTTTCACCTAATTCCAAGGAAAAATGTTCTTATGCTAAACCAGTGCCTGGAAGCTGTAATAGACTGATAAGAGCAAACAAATGGAAGCTTAATCCAGATAAGACAGAGGTGCTCCTGGTCAGTCAAAAGACAGTACTGGGAAAAGGGAGTCAGCCTGTATTACATGGGGTCAAACTCCCCCTGAAAACACAGGTTCACAGTTTGGGGATATTCCTATATACATCTCTGAACCTGGAAGCATAGGCATAGACAATGACCAGGAGTGCTTTTACACAACATAAGGTAGTGCACCAACTCTGCCTGTTGGTGAGTACATGCCTTGGTTGTATCCGAGTTGGAGAACTGTAATGCGTTCTACATGGGCTGCCTTTGAAAAGTGCTCAGAAACTTCAGTTGGTCCAAAGAGCTGGGACGGTCTACAGGGAGCATACTACTTCTCTGTTGCGACAGCTCCACTGGATGCCAACATGTTTCTGGACATGATTCAAAGTGCTAATTTTGACCTACAGTGCCTCATATGGCTCTGGTTCAGGTTATCTGAAGGACCATATCTCTTTCTATGAACCTGGTAGACATCTAGGATCTACTAGGGAGAACCTTCTCTTGTTACCACCACTTCTGTGGTTGGCCCCATCCTTGCTGGCCTTCCACAAGCAAGTCAAGACCTTTCCTTTGCCAGCAGGCATTTGGGAAAGGATAAAGGGCAGGCCGCTAGGGAAGTGTGGGTGGGATAGGAGGGCAGGTTGTGAGCTTTAAAAACTATTTGAAATATATGTATTATATTTTAATCTGTTTTTTACCACTGTATTATTTAATTGCTTTTTTAAAAAATGTATTGCTGACTTTAAATAATGATGTGAAAGAAAAACTATAAGATTATGTGCAGGTGGTACTTAATGCCAGAGAGATTTTCTAAGATATACAAAGGCAATTCTAACAAATTTTGGAAATGTGAGAAAAATGTTGGAAATTCAGAATGATCAACTAAAAAGAAAACATGGAAGATTACTACAATATATGAAGGAACCAGTTATCTCAATGGAAGAAGAATGGCTAGTGAAGATCTGCAAATTAGTTGAGATGGACAAACCGACTACACTGATCAAAGACAAATTAATGAATTGTTTCTAAGAACAGTGTGTTTATATGTTGTTACCTAAAGAGAGTGGGATATTAAAGGGTAAAAATCAACAGACAAGGCGGGTGAAATTCAAAGAAAAGTTGTAGTAGTTATGTGTTTAGTATGTGTTAGGTTAATGTATCTGTCTTACATTTAGTTTTGTAAGACATCAGGGTTGTAGTATTATATATTAAGAACATCTTTCTTGATGTTGTTTTTTGTTTTATTTACTTCTGAATAAAAAATATTACCTTAAAAAGAAATAATTTATAGCAGAAGTGGTCAGCTGTTGTTGGCCCTTTTTTCCTGTAACTAATATAGCCTTTAGCTATTCTATTCTTCCTGGTAGATTTAGTGAAGCAGTAACCGGGAGAAATGAGATCTGTTCACAAGAGCATCAAACATTTTCTCAGTCTCATATTATATTTTTAAAAAACTTGATGGATTCAAAATAATGCAACTCTGACTCTCAACTTATATATTTTGTTCCTTGCAGGTTACAAACATGTGGCTCTACCTGGCTGTCCTCGTAGGGTTTTACTTCCTCTACCGATGGTACAGGGAAAGACAGACTGTGGACAAACTGACAGAGAAATATGTCTTCATCACTGGCTGTGACTCTGGCTTTGGGAACCAGCTTGCCAGGCAGCTGGATGCCCGGGACATGCGAGTATTGGCAGCTTGTCACAGCCAGAAAGGGGCAGAAGAGTTAGACAGGATCTCCTCAGAACGGCTGAAAACCATAGTTTTGGAGATCACCAAAACGGAAAGTGTGGAAGCAGCAACTGAGTGGGTGAGAGAACAAGTAAAGGGCAAAGGTATAGTACAAATACAGTTTCTACATTCCAGAAATTGGCAGCTCGGGGCTTTTTCACATAGAACTATATCCCAGAATATCAAGGCAGAAAATCCCACATTGGATTAAGATAACCCAGTTCAAAGCAGACATTGTGGGATTTTCTGCATTGATATTCTGGGATATAGGCCTGAGTGGAAAGGCCCTCAATAGAAATTGCTCACAATGTTTTGAGAACCAGTCATGAACTTGTGAGACTAATATGTTTATGATGATGTGGGGTGGATAAAGTTTCAACATGTTAACCTGTCATGATCTCATGATCTCAATAGTAATGTTTGAAACTATGTGACAAATACAACAACATGTAATACTTTTGGTGACACCATTGCCAATATGTGCCATATGTTGTTGCTGGATGATTCCAAACTGCTCTTTTATATGTCTTCTAACCTTGTCACTTTCTAGATCCTTACATATCCCACAATCCCACTGCTGACTGGAGATGGAGGATTTGGAAACCAAAACAGTTGGGAAAGGCTTTTCTTAAATCAAAAATGGGAATTTTGATGAAATTGGAGCAGTGGGTATTGACAGTATTATGTCTCTTTGCTCCATTAAACCCAAATGAAGGAATGGACAATATCCTCCTGTTACAAAATCTTTCATAGTTGTAAATCCTAAAATTTTAAATGTTTCAGAGATCAAATGAAAATGTTAACCATCTCCCAGTCTTTTAAAATCTCTCAGAGTTTTCAGATAGTCCAGACAATTCATTTTAGTCAAATTGATCTCTGTGCTGTTGGACATGTTCTCTATAGGATCTCTGCAGGAAATGAATCTGTAGCATTCATATTTGAGGTGGGGGGGGGGGGTTACAATGTCTGTGGCTTTCCTACTTTCACAAGCATTCTGGGCAACTAATCCCCGTGAATGCGGGGACTCAAGTTATCTGTTATCCATGTATGGTTTTATATGTATCTTCYATAGAAAGCCTTTAAAGTGTCTGCAAACTGCAATTCATTGGACTTCTTAGCTGAAATAAGACTTTTTAAGCATCCAATAAGTRCTAATTTTATACACAATACAATGTTGCATGTACCAGGTTACTGGGCTCAGTATTCAGTGGAATCCTAAATGAAATGGGTCTCCTTCTCTATGGGGAGCCATAATAGAAATGCCTGAGGAGAAGGTATGCTTAAACATGTCCCGTGTTTTTCTCTGCAGGGCTCTGGGGCTTGGTGAACAATGCAGGAATTGTAAGCCCAGTGGCCCCCAATGAGTGGCTGACCAAGGATGACTTTATGAAGGTGTTGGAGGTCAACCTTCTTGGAACGATCGACGTGACTCTGCACATGCTGCCCTTAGTGAGAAAAGCCCAAGGAAGGGTAGTCAATGTGACCAGTGTTTCTGGAAGGATTGCTTATTCCGGAGGAGGCTACAGTCCTTCAAAATTTGCCTTGGAGGCATTCTCTGATAGTCTCAGGTAATTACACAATTCATTTCAATACTTGGAATTGAGGATCAGGGCTAGACAGAATATGTTACAGCCATTTTGTTTTTAGATGACCTTTGGTGCAAATCAGTCTAGAATCTGAGAACAATTTGTGAATGGGAATTATGTAACACGTAAGGAAATTCCAAAGAAAAATGAAAAACAATCTGTAACTTTCATGGGGGGGGGGGGGAGCCTCTAGCTCAGGAGAGACTATTCATTCCTTCTTTGTTCCAATTTCATTCTAGGCGTGAATTATGTCCATTTGGTGTCAAAGTGAGCATCATTGAGCCAGGTGGCTTTAAGACAAGAATGGGTAAAAATATAGTTCAGCACCCCAGAATCCGATGGAGCGGATTGCCTGATGAGGTCAAAGAAATCTATGGAGAGAAGTACATAGAAGATTGTAAGTTGTTTGTTTGATTGTGGTTTGTTTGTTTGTTGCTGTGTCCGTTTCTTTGTTTCTTTGTTTTCTGGGAGGGGGTGAGAGACAGAGTGCTAATAACTGGGACTGATATAGTGAAACTAGGAGGACTGCTGTTGCTCAATAGGCCCACTGCCAAATATAATCTATTCTGCTGCCTAGGAATTGGGCAGAATAGATATGAGTTTCAGTAAGGAGCAGCTAATACCCTCAGGACTCCACTACCTGAACTAACTGGCTTTTACAGAGCTTCATGTTCTGTCCAGTTTTACAGAAAGGCTTTATTTCTGCCAAAAATGTAATCACTATTACAACCGATTTCTCTTTCTCTCTTCCTTTCCCTCCTTCTGCATATAGTTATCAAGTCATTTGCTCACAACATCTACGGCAAGAGCAGCAACTTCTATCCAGTGACGGATGCCATGGAGCACGCGCTGACCTCCTGCTATCCCCGCAGCCGCTATGTTGTAGGTTGGGATGCCAAATGCATCTTAATCCCACTTACATACTTGCCAGCCTCATTGGGGGACTATGTTACAACTCTTTATTTTCCAAAACCATCTGGAGCTCTCTATTAATTGCAGATGCCTCACACAGAAATAAGATCATAGGAAATTATAGATATAAGAATGAGTTCCTATGCTCAGTTAGCATGACATTCATTTGTTTCATATACTCTTCAAATACATAGCTTGAACGTAATTTTATGCACAGTATTTTGGTGATTGAAACAAAGTTTGTGTTCACTGAACTATTCTAAAGCTAAGGTATCTAACTCACTCATGTGGACAATATTGGATTTTGGAATTCCAGATAAGGGATATTTAAACTGCAATCAGCAGGATTATTTAGCTGAATCTGTAACTGTATTTTTTTTTCTTTTAATTAGTTGGAATTGAGGGCTCCAAGATATATTACACTTTAGATATGTCTTTTTCTAACATTACTTTCTCTGAACGCACATTAATTTGTTTGTAAATTTAATCTGAAATGTTAAAAATCAGACAAACAAAGAATAAAAGGTGACAAGAAATTATCAGTGCATCTTAATTTTGTGTTCATTTCTTTACCAGATGGATAAAAATTGTGTCTGTTGCCTTATACTTTTCTCTGATCATTTGGCAAAGATGGGAAAACTGGTATATTACACAGAGACCTTCCATATAAAAAATATAAAATATCAGGAGAATACCACCACTTGTACAAGGCCCACTAGCAGGAACATGTAGAAAGATTTTTTTCCACACATGTACTGTCTTTCAGGTCCCATTCTTATTGTCTTTAAGAAGAATGTATAGAGAATCCTGTTGCACTCTTGAACAGGAATAACTCTCTGACTTCAAAACACCACACGTTGAGTAGGAAAACAATCCTTTTTATTGAAGATAAGTAAAAGCAGCAAGTTAAAAAAAGCACTTTAAGAGAATAGATAAATCCAATTAGGTAGGAAGATAAGCAGGAACAAAGTATTCCAAGGTAGCATTCAGCAAAGTTCAAAACACAGTCCAGACGTCTCTAATAAAATCCAAAGAATCAGGAAAGCATTGATCTGAAGCATGAATATATAATCCCAAGAGACAAAGAGTCAAACCGTAAACAAGAAATTTTTAAACATGAATCTTCCAAGCAAGGCTTCCATAAGACAAGAGCAAGAACTTAGCAGGATTCTGAAACTATGCTTCATCTGACTATATTTCCTATCATTGGAACTTTATATCCCCTCATTAAGACTCATTAAGACAGAAACTGGTTTTGTTTTCCCTTAATGCCTCTCATCCTTATCTGGGAGAAATTCAGGGAGTAAACTATCAACCCTATATCCTGTAGGAACATTCTCATGGGAAACTACACTATGAACCGGTATCTCTATGACATTCTCTGCATTAATATCATTGACCAAACCACTGCCATCTTGACCCTCAGTGACATCATTCCCCACATCTAAAGCACCTTGATCTTGAAACACAATTACAGGCTGAACTCCAACACATCCCTTCTATCCAGGATTTTATCATTGCACCTACACAGCAGAATTTATGCAGTTTAACACTACTTTAACTATCCATGGCTCTATGCTGTGGAATCATAAGGATGGTAATTTTTGTGTGATTTCAGCCCCCTCAAGAACTGTGGGTTTAGAGCCCAGCGTATCAAGTTTCCAGAAGGCCAGATGAGACACAGATGGATTGAAGACAAAGTCAGAGGTTTATTCTCAATGGCCAGAGAGGATGACAACAGACAAAACACTCCAAAAAATGACATGCCACATTGCGAATACAGAGCATATTTATTACATTTAACAGTTATTCAAGAGTCCCATGCTAGACTCTGAATGACTCAAAAAACATCTGACTAGGATCTATCTCATTGTTGGTCTGGAATTCCCTCCAACATCATCGCTGGTTAGTATTTGTTGTGACAGAAACTTTAAATAAAATGTCATTGGATTTGAACAATATGTCTGTTTATTGATCCACCCTGGAGAGGGGTACAATCAGAAAGGAATGTCATGTGGCAATCGATAATGGGTTTAATATCTTGACTCCAATGAATACAATGGTGTTAGTCCAGATAAACAACAAAAGCTTAAGGGTGATGGCTATCTCAAGGAGCATTGCAGGATGAGTCTGGCTTGGAGCACAAGAAAGGACACGTTTCCAGATCAAATCAGGTGAAACAGGAAAAAGTCCATTGTGTGTTTCTTCCCTTGCCTCCCAGGTCATTGTAAAAGGATTACGATTTCAGGGATTCTCTCCTGGAGTCTGAGGTGTATTGGTCAATATTCCAAGGTAATTCATGAAGGGTTAATGCAGGACAAAGGCAATATGGGCTCACTGTCTCAATGGAGCCATGTTTCATATTTCATAATTTAGGGTCCTAAATTAACAAGACCTATAGCTTTCTCTCCAAGGCATGTTGGTGCCTCACCAAAATACAAGTCCCAGGATTCCATAGCATTAAGTCATTAAGTTTATAGTGTAGAGCTGCCCTAGGTTGACTGGTAATTTTGATAATGGTATTGATTATATTGCCTTTTTATATTGGTTATATAGTTTAATCTTGGTTTTTTTAAAAAAAAAGTTTTCCAATTGTGTTGTCAGGACCATGAATCTTTAACAATAGAAAGATGGGATAATATTGATTAAAAACATATTAACAAGTATACATGCCTGTTGTCTGTGGGGAAAAAGTGGGATAAAATAAGTAGAAAAAGACCTACCAGGATATTTCCAGGGGAAAAAATATTGATTAGTTTGCTTCAGAACAGAAAACTATTCAACAATCCCATTATTTTCAGAGTATTTACTACGTAGGGAATGTGATGTCTTGACTCCCACTCTGTTTTAGTACCCGGTTGGCAGATCAACAGAATGGCTTTTGTTGTGATTCTATCAACAAGTCTAAGATCCTATCATAAAACTAGATGGAGTATAACTTTCCCTTGAGGAGAGTACATGGTGAGACCAGTTTCATGTATGTAGCAGAAGATGCTAAAAAGGATTGTGAAACTTCAGATTGCACATTGTCCGTATTTACAGCAGTTGTTTTTTGAGTCAGTACTACCAATGAGAAAACCTGGCTAACGTGCCTCTCATGAGTCAGTGTACAAGCCCAGCTTAAATGACTGAGACAGAAAATAGAGCTACTAGCAGCAGAGGGCAGCACACACAGAAATATTACACTTAAATACATTTAATTTTGGAAAATAAAATACAATGAAGGTGAAATTTACAATGAGATGAGAGTTTTGTCTATTGGGGAAGCTGGTCAATGATATAGGAGGGGAAATTGGAAGGTTATTACAATATATGACAATTGCAGCAAGAATTACATTATGTAACAAATTTTGAAAAAATGTTATGTTCATCATTTGAAAGTGTTATTTCCTATTTGATTGTGTGGTACTTATTTTGAAAGTTGTCGTTATACTTCAGAAACTTGGGGTTTTTTTATTTGCGGGTTTGTTTGGGGTTTTTTTGGTGGCGGAGGATAGTACTATTATTTTCTTCCGTCTAAGCACTTTGTTTGTGATTTTCCTTAATAAAAGTACACCATTTTTAAACTTTCAATGTGCAAACCGCAAAAACAAAGTTTTTGCAGTTTAATAAATCTTTTCCATGTTTCTATGATACTACCAATTCAAAAACGACATCTATGCTGAGAGATGAAAGGAACAAGAGATCCCAACATTAGAAGAATGGCTGATGAAATAGCCAAGATAGATAAATTGACTATGATGATTAAGGAGAAACCTTTGACCAACTTTAAGAAAGATTAGGACTTGTTGATTATCTTTTCACAACAATAAGGAGATTGGTTTGCTGTGAGTCTTATAGAAATTAACTTGATTGGCAGCTGGATTTCAGTTGGTTTCTGGTGATGTCCTCCACCATATACGAGGACAAGCAGCTCATTAAATGGGTGCAGGAGGACAAGCAATGGAGGTACACACAGCTTGTTCCTCCCCCGGAAAAAGATGGCCAAAGAACGGCCATTGCTGTTCTCCATGATCCCTTGCCTTGCTCTGCTTAATTATAGGTCCAGCCTTGAGAATGCTGGTTACAAGTAGCTGCCTCTGGGAAGAGATTGACAGCATTCATTTTGTACCAGGAGTTTCAAGGGCAAGTGAATCAAAATTGTTTCTGACAAAGAGAGAGATATCAAAATATTAATCTCCCTCCCTATATGATAACATTTTAAGGTGTATCTTCTTGGAGACTGACATACCTAAAATTGAGTCTGCCCTCATTTTATTTCACCTAGGACAGTGGTTTCTCAACTTGTGGGTCCCCAGGTGTTTTGCCCTACAACTCCCAGAAATCCCAGCCAGTTTACCAGCTGACTTCAGAAGTCAGAAAACTTCATGGATTTTCTTATTCATCAGTTTACAAAGGGCAGGGATAATACTTTAGTAGTAGCTGGCGGCTCCCCTGTCAGTGGAGTAGTAAATCCACTGTTGGTTTTAATCTGAACTTTCAATAAACTGCCTATACTATTCAATATGCTGCGTATACTGAAGGTATGTGTTGTGTATGTCTATGAATTTTTGACTAAACTTTGGAGTAGAGTCACCATTCCACTGTCATAAGCATCGCCGGCTACTACGAGAATCTATGATCTTATTGGAACAAAAACTAAATGTTTGTACAAATAATATGTGGAATTTTTCAAACTTCAAAAAAATCATTTGTTTCCAATTGCAACAGATTTGGAGAAAAAAATTACTGGAGTTTTAATCTTGTGTGGAGAGAGAAATTTTCAAACCATTTGACAGTTTTTGGAGTGGTATTTCTCAACATGTGAAACAACCCTTTCTCATGAGAAAATGTTCAAACTTTCTTTTCAGCCCAAGTGCTTAGCTTGAGAACCCACAGATGCTACTATGCGTGACTGCATTTCTGTGTACGAACCCACACAATCTCTTCGATCATCTGGAGAGGCCCTGCTAGAGCTCCCACCTCCTTCGCAGGCACGATTGGTGGGGACGAGGGAGAGGACCCTCTCGGTGGTGGCCCCCCGACTCTGGAACTCACTTCCCAAGGACATAAAGCATGCCCCAACTCTGGCAGTCTTTAGG